ATAAACTTGAAGCTTTGGACAAAAGATATTTTCAAGCTGAATCATAACATATGTCATATAGGAAAGCTGTATCTATCAGAAAACAATGATGCTAGTCTATTAAGTATTTTAAATATAAAGACTAACAGGTACAGAACAAAGTTCCAGAAGTATTTAATATGAAGAAGGGCATCTCTAGGCACATAAAAAGGTCCCTCACTGAGTAGGGTACTGGTAAGAGTGAAGGAGAACGACAGAGTTGGAAAAGACTGCAAAATCACATTAAATATGTGTTACAGATCATTCCTAGTAGGTTTAGGGCACTGATATCTTATCACATCCAACTGGCCACGAGGCCTATTGGCTATTTATGCTGGATTGTAAGTGGATTGAATTTTTTCCATTTAGATGTCACTGTTTTATGGAACACACCTCAAACTTTATAAAAGAAATAAAATTTGCTTCACAGAAGTTTACATTATAGCTAGTTCATTTTATAAATAATCCTATTTCTTCAAAATGAGGACAGTTATTAATAAAAAATTTCTAGAAAGTGCAACACACACAGGTTTCAGAACAAAATCATTTGTGATCCTAACTAGTCCCTTCCTATTTCCATCCATGTCATGTCATTAAAGCCAGTGCTTCATTTTCATTGGAATTTTTCCACCTGGTATTTTCATTCTTAATAAGTAAAAGGCACAAACTAATATAATATCAGTTTTAAGTATTTATCATTTAAACCTTTATAAGCTTAGTGATCTAACAAGTAAAGAAAAATGTATATGAACTATAAGGATAGTTTTTTACAATTCACCACTGACTTTTATAGAGCAAAAAAGCATACTTGAGAATATGTCACTGATTTTACAGCATGAAAGATATCAAAATTAAAATGGGAAAATGATACATTTGTCACTGGCAAATAGGAATTTATCAAAAAGAAAAATACAGTATGACTTAGGGAAAAGTGTATCAGTTAAACCACAATATTAAAATTAAAAACATTATAATCTGGCAATGTTTATCAAAAAGTAACTTACTAAAAATATTTAAAATGTGAAATCCGAATTCAAATTTTAAAATTACTATTTGAGGGCAACACACTCTAAACTCAGGAAAGTACAACATTAGAGTGAAACACTTAAATTTGGTGCTTTAAATTTGAACCTGTGAAATCAGTCACCATTAAGATTACTTGCCACAGATGGAATTACATGTCAAAAAGAAAAAACAAACAAGCTACCTGATTACAATAGTCTTACAAAATATAAATCAAATTTTCATTTATAGTATGTTAGTTGTTAAATCAAGTCATTAAATATAGTGTTCAACTCAACTTTTCAATTTTTTAAATAAAAGTGTTAAAATAATGGTATAGCAAACCAGGGAAATCATAAATATTTCAAAGATTAAAAATCATTGAAAACATTCTTAATAAGAATTAAAAGAAAAGCATTCATTCAAAAATACTCCTGAGTAGAAAGCCAAAATAATTCCACTAGAACTTTAAAAGTCAGGAAGAGCAGCCCAAAAATCCAGTTTGAAAGATAACAATACATACATAAACTGTTAAGTAAAGCCAGGAATATAGATTACTTTGAAACAGCTACTTATATCCATTTTAATGAAGAATTAAAGGATACAATATGTTAAAGACATATTTAAAAGACTAGTAATGGGATAAGACAGATGAATCAAATTTTGTTTATATCCTAAATAATTACAAGAGACTTTAAAAATGTAGTGTAATTCATGTTTTCTTTCCAGTTTAAAAATTTCTATCCATCGCCTCTATCTTTGGTGTCACTGCCACCAATAAACACAGTATACAGCTTAGAAACCTAATTACTACCTTCTACTAGGAAAAAGTAAATCCACATTATTTTTTTAAAAATAAGAGATATAAAGAATGTGATCCTACCTAATTTTGTCTCGTGGTCCCACAACATTCTGAAATATCATGCCAAAATGTAAAAGTCCAAAGGGAACATTACCATTTGCTACAATTGCACCAAAAATTTAGCTACTGTACGCTGGTGTGATGACAGCTAGTAGTATGCAGAGGCTACAGAAAGACATAATATATATATATGTATACGTTTAGCTTACAATTAGTAAAAGGGAAGTTCACTTTAATGTGAAACTGAAACATGGACAACAGAATGCCTTCATGTAGATATGCTACAACTTTGTTTTCTTGCAGTTTAAAAGGATAGTGTAATTATCTTAAATTTACACAAAACATTAAGAAACATGGTAGTTGTTCATGATTAAAATAAAATAGCAATGTAAATTAATTTAACACAGTGTTAAATATATTCACATGATCACCACTGTGATTCAAAATGGCCGCCAATGAAGTTACATATCGATATATGTACATTAACATTTGTCACAACAGTTTTTGTAAGTTTGACTCTTTGCAGACCAGGTAATTTTATGAGACAAATAATCTTGTATCACTTCTTTCATATTATGAAAGGAATTAAATGTTGTAAGTAGTTTCATTCCTCTCGGGGAAGGGGTGGGGGAAGGGGAGAACCTCTAAAAAGTCCACGTAAATTGAAGAGAGTTCTACTTTCTTGAGTATTTGAACCTGCTGCTGACCAAGACAGATTCCTATAAGCTGAGCATAAACAAATCGTAAGATATTAACGAATCTCATAACACTGTCAGGGGCATTCAGCAGATATGTGCCAAAGGAGGAGTACCAGGTCCTATAGCAGAGCCTTCTGAGAATACGGTTGCTGTGGCTGGGGTGGCTGTTGACTGCCTCCTGGCTGAGGCAGGACTGATGACGTTAAACTATAGTTTGGCACCTGGGACATATTAGTTCCTGCAGTCTGGTACAGAGTGACATCAGCAGTTGCAGCAGCAGCAGGAGGTGGACTGTATACCGAAGCCTGGCTGGGATATGTATTTCCTTGCACAGAACTGACCATTGTGCTGTGGAGGGAGAAAAACATTCAGTTGGATAAACACTGAATTATAGAGCCATTTACAGATAAACAGGAAAGCTATTTATTAAACATTTATTCATACATTCAATTCACTTAATAAATTTTTCTTAAATATCCATATTTGCCAAACATTGTTATTTTAGGCACTGTAATACTATAAAAAAAAAAAAGAGAAAAATGAATCCTTACCACCATGAAGCCTATGTTCTAGTATGAGAAAAAGGATAATAAATTTATATAATGTGTCAAGTGGTTATAACTGCTATGAAAAACTAAAGCATAAGAGGGAGGACCAAGAGTCCCTGAGGCGAGGGATTCTAGTTCATGGCAGGGGAAGGCCTCTCAGATAAGGCAACATTTAAGCAGAGACCTGAAAAAAGTGAAGGAGTGAACCAGATTATTTATCTAGGAAAAGCATATTTTAGGCAAAGAAAAGAAGCTGTTGAGGAGAGAAAATGCCAGGCATGTTCAAGCAACAGCAAGAAGGCCACGAGGCTTGCGGTAGAGTGAGCAGTGAGTACAGCACAAGATAAAGTGGCAGAATTAGAGGGGGTGGGAGATGGGATACATGGTGCTTATACTGTGAGATGGAGAGAAAGTGGTTGGTTTTGAACATAAGGTTTATGTGATTTGACTTAGGTTTTAACAGGCTCACTGTGGGACAAGGATCGAAGCAAGGGTTACACTAGAGGCTATTACGATCACCTAAGAGAGAGCTGACAGGCAGCAGAGTCACGGCAGTAATGGTGGAGATGAAAGAAAAGGGTCAGATTCTGGATATATTTTGAAGACAGTGTCTTCAAAATTTGCTAGTGGACAGAGTAGTCCAGAATGCCTGAGGTTTAGAACTGACTGTTAGGAGTAACTGGTAGAGTGGCCATTTGCTGAAAAGGAGACTATGGACAGGACTACAGTAGACTGGGGGTGGTTGGGGTAGGGGTGGGGATGATCAAAGTATGATCTTGGACATGTCATGTCAAGTAAGATGTCTAGAAGATACACAGAAAAGATAATGCATAGGCCGTCAGCTATTCAAGTCTGGAGTCCGGCGGGAGGGAGATGAGTGGAAATATATACTTGGGAGTCATTAGCACACACCCGGCATTCGGTCACAGAGCTACAGGAGATCCCCTGGGGAGTGACTGCAAACAAAAAAAAGGTCCACATATCGAGCCCTGGACCTTGAAGTCAGGAGGATAAAGAGGCACTAGACAAAGGGACTGAGGAGTGGCAGCGAGGTAGAAGGAAACTAAGCAAATGGCCTCAGCCAAGTGAAGAAAGCATTTCAAGAAAGAATAGGGAATAAGGAACTGTCAAATGAAGGAGGAAGAGAACTCAGAATCGACTATGGGATCTGGCAATACGGAAATCATCAGTTCCTTGACAAGAACAGTTCCAGAGGACTAGGGGAGATGAAAGTCTGATAACCTCGTTTCTCTTATTTCCCCCAAAATATAAAAGCATTTACTCTCCTACCACATTTACCAACTATCTGAGCCTATGCCCATTCAAACTCTTCTCTCCCTCTTGCTAGAGCTGATCAGCTGTCAGTCCTCCCACCTCAGGCTCCCTCTGCTTGTGCACTGCTCCTGTAACAGGAAAAAAAATCCTACAAAGAATTGTCTTAATTCGCCGTCTCTACTTCCTCTCTTCCTATTTCCGACCTGATATATGAGCTTCTACTGTGTGTAAGACACTAAGGTAGCTATGCAAAGAGAAATACTAGGATGCTTTAATATGGAGAATCTCTCCTATATTTGTAGTAAAAATGCGAAACAAGCTATATAATGGGCAATTGCCCAAATTTTCAAAATATTGCCTCTACTTATTTCTAAATTTTCCTTCGATTGCTAAATTGTTTACACATATTAACACAATTGTTGGTGAATTCAATACTCTTGTAATTTATGGAAATTAATTCATTATTATTAGATGGTAACTTAATTCTTTTAAGAGATTATAATTTAATGCTATATTCCACCAAGTAATGTGATGACTTAACTAAGGCATCACCCATTATTATTCTCTATGTGTTGTGAGATGTAAAGCTGTACCATAAGAAGTCAAATTCTGTGCTGTTATTTACAACAGAGAGGTCCACAATGTTGCAATAATGTAACACAGAGACTATCTGCTAAGCCCCAGGGCCAGAATGCCTGGTTTTGAATCTTAGCTAAGTGGGACCTTAGGCCTGTCTCCATGTCTCAGTTTCCCCATCTATAAAGTAGGGAGAATAGCACATCGACTTCACAGGTTCTTAGGAGAATTAAATGAGTTATTATGTGTAAAGCATATAGCACAGGACCTGGCACATACTAAACCGCATAAATGTTAGCTATTACTGTAATCATTCTCCATTTATACTATATTCCTCATCTCAATTTACAGTTCTAGCATCCACATATGGCCCAGGGTAAAACCTTACAATTCACCCATTACCTACCTTCCTCTTATCTCTGCTCTGCACCGTCTCCCAAACACACCACCCAATAGGCAATTATTTGCTAATCTCCTAAAAAACTCTTTCCCATTAGTATCACTGTATCTTACAGTTAGACACCCATCATATCTTGCCTAATATATGCAGCCTCCTGGTTTCTAATCCTGCCCCTATGAAGCCATCCATCCTATTGCCATTTAAAGGCTTTATGGGCTTTCTCCTTATCTTTACCTCACATCTAGGGGGCCGCTCCTTCTTAGATCACTGTCAGTATTTCCAAGTGTATCTTTCACTGCTCCACCATATACGTTAATCCTTTAGGAACAGTGTACCGTTGGTAATGCCCGACACACCCCATACCTTTCCTGCCCCTTACCTTTGCTCATTCTGTGGGCACCATGCCATTCCATACTACCGTATCTTTGTCGTGACAGAACATCCTCCTTTCTTTTTGTCTCCTGGCTACGAATAGCAGAGCTTGAGTGTATTTTCTTGGAAAAATTCCTCAAACCCTGGGGCTCCTAAAGCACCAGGCTTTACTCCTTCTTTGTAAAAATTTATCCCTTATTTCTAAATTATGTTGTGATAAATTGCATATTTCTTATGTGTTTGCCCCATTAGCCAGTAAGCACCTTGAAGCTAAGAAACTCTAAACCATGTTTGTATGTGAAATGTCTAGCCCAGTGCTGACACACACTAAACATTCACTAAACATCTGTGTAACAGAAGTCAACTGAAATCATAGACAAATGAGCATATAAGCTTTGGTGATCTTATAATGCCACCAGTAACTATCACTTATTGTTGCCTTATAATACTGCCATCACTACAGGTAGCTTTAGAAAACTGCATAAATGCCACCCTCCCCAATTAACAGTAAGATTGTCCTAGGATAGAAGTCTGAAAAAGGGTTAACTCTAATACCAAAATTATATGTAAAAGAATAAGCAATAACCTTCTAGTTAGGAACTAAGGAGGATTCAAAAACGTGCCTACCAAAAACGACAAAAATCCTCACTGATCCTGATTTGCAACTAGAAAGCTCAAGTCAAATATGCAGTACACCTCTAGCAAGGAGACTTCTAACCCTGACCCTCACTCCTTCCAATTTTGTTATCCTACATTTGCTCTGCCAACAATTTCCTTATATTTCCTCATTTCCCTATTTAAGCACATACACACTTGTTTTTATGTATTTGTATACATATATTATTTACTGTGCATTTACATAGATTTTTAAATGGCCTTAAAGCCTTTGCGAAGCTTTTGCGAAGAATACAAAAGTACACCAAACTGGCCTAATATAGCACTTGAAATTGTCATAAATAACACTTAAATGTTTATTTAAACGTTTATCAAACACTGATTGAGTTCCTATCCAGTATAAAACTGTGTGCTACACAGTGTGGCTATAAAGGTAAAATAGACTTAGTCCCAGTTCTCAAGATATTATACTGTAGGTGAGGATACGTAAAAGTAAACGGCAACTACCAGACAGGAAACAGACAAGAGTACATGCAGGGTCCTCTGACAGCACACAGGAGGGACAGTGCTGAGAAGCTGGGAAGCAAGGAGGGCCTCCTAGTGAAAATGAAGCTAAGCTAAGAAGTAAAGAACAAGCAGGAATGTACCAGGATGAGAGGGCTAAGTATTTCAAAGAAATGCTCTTCAAAAGGCACCTGTTGAAATGAACATGTGTTCCTTGAGAGGTGACATTAATAGCTATACTGTATCAGTAGGGTAAGGCCCCACACCAGCAATTTCATATGCTGACTGCAAAAGCAGACAGAGCAACCCCCAGAGAGGAGCAACAAGGTGCTACAGCACTACAGAACACCATTTCACTACAGTGAAAGCACCCACCAAAAGGGTATCTCATTTACAAGGATAATTTCCCCAGGTCCTGACCTTCAAGAATAGGTGCCAAGTAATCTCTAGTAACAACGCATTTAGAGCAGCATGTGACAGTAAAACAGAGGACTAGCAGGGAAACTAATACTAACATGGCTGAAGGGTTCCCAAACAACTCATGAACACTGGTCATCTCAACAATTCTGACCTTCGACCCACTGTGTATCTAGTGTTAAAAGCAACATGCTACTCTTCTAAGAATAGCTGCTTGCTTATTTTCCACATAAGCATGTTCATTTTCACCAGATTCCAACTTAAAAACAAAAATCCTGCAATAGAGAGAGCTACATTTAACATTTTTTTCTAAGATACATAACCCACTAGGGAGCCCCTTAATTTCTGATGCTTGTAATAGGCCTCCCCATTGTCCTCCTTCTTAAGGTCAGTTCAGAACACTAGATGTGATCACAGAATAATGCTTGACAATCCCCAAGCATATCCGACATGTGGCTCTTTGAGAATGAATAACAAAATAGTGAGGGTGGTACAGGAGCATTCCTGGGCAATCCTGACATTGATGGAAAGGCTTCTAGCAATTGTGCCTGTGCCACCTAGAAACTTCTGTTGTGAGTCAGAATATCTACCCTGTATTTGCTTCAAGGGAAAGACTTTAGCTTAGATTCCGATTAAAGCATTACAAAAATTTATATAATTAATAATCATTCAACTATGTTCATAGCATGAAGAGTAAATGCCAAAAGTAGACTGGCCTCTGCCATCACATATTCAGCTGTCTGCCTGAGCCACAGGGGCACACAGCTTCTTGTACCTTCTCTTTTCAAATGGTGTATCCGGCTACAAGATAAATTCCAACACAGGGCAAAAATAAGAAAATATTTGTCTTAAAGAGATAGCCCAGAAGTATATATTCTAAAACAATAATAACAGAATTTAGATTTTACATGAAATTTGTGGGAAAATGATAAGTTATAGTTACCAAATTTAAGTTTCATTAAAGACATTATCAAATAGCAGCACAGACTCAAATAAAAACAAAAAACCTATGATAAGAATATAAAAAAATTCAGAGCTGAAACCAAAACACAGGAGTAGAGTGAATCGAGAAACAGCACTGGCTTGCTGGCTGGTGCTGCGTACCACGGGGTCCTGCACAACCCACGCATCACCACAAATGGGGTCAACTGTACGGCAACAGTGATGACGCCCACCCCAGATTTTTCTTATCCAGATTTTATAGTTACAGATGACTGGGGACACTTAAAGAGTCTAACTCCAAAGTACTAACTCCAAACAATAGTCAATAATCAAATTACCTTGGGTAAGAAGCCTGAGTCTGCTGAGTAGGAAGGGCTGGGTTTGCAGATGGTGGGACCACTCCTTGGCTGAGAGAAGACAGCTGCTCCGGGGGAAGACTGTAGCTCTGGAGATGGCTCATCTGTGCATTCCCTGCAACCAGGTAAGCACCACTCTGAGGAGGCCCCGCGTATACCTAGAACAGTTAATGAAAAATCACATTCGATTCTAAAATTTTAATAGGCATACCAAACTTTCTTTGTAGAGGCATTCAGTTACAAAAAGAACAAAACTTACCACTCTGGAATCTTTTTTAAAGTTACTTCTGTCACAGGCATTGTGAAGTGGGCTATTGATGGTTTTTGATTTTATTAATAGTTAAATATTACCTAAACTTACGTTTATTTCCATACAGAAGCGTTAAAGAAATTTATCTTGAAAATTATACTAATATAATTTCCCTTTCCATTTAATATATCTAATATTTTCCATGTTGATATTTTAAAAGGAATCCCAACAGATGTTTAGGAAGTATATTTGAATTCATTGTTTTATAGCCATAGACTGTAATTATCTATGGATACAATTCACATTTCCTAAATTGCAATTAACTGAACATTAGAGCAAGCTAACTTTCTAAAGCAGGGGACAGCAAACTTTTTCGGACCAGAAAGTAAGTATTTTAAGCTTTGTGGACCATATGATCTCTGTCACAACTATGCATCTCTGCTGGTATAGAAAGCAGCCACATCCAATGCAGAAAGCAAGCAAGACTAGTTATGTTCCAATAAAAGTTTATTTAAAAAAACAGACAGCAGGCTGCATTTGTTCGCCTATTCTTCCACTTAAAAATGTATTTTCATTTTATCCAAAAAGTTTGAAGTCTTAAATACCCAAAGTCTGAAACACATAATGTTCTAATTTTCTGTAGTATTCATTAGAGCCTTCTATTTCCCATGTTGGAAGAGAACTTTCACTATGTTGTAAGACTATTACCACGTGTTAAGACAGTAACACAGCCACCAAGAAATGAGCACAACGATCATCTTAGGATATTTGTTAAGGCATAACAAACTCACCATCCATCGGGACCCAAAGGACTAGCTATATTAGTCCTCATAACTGTATTTTATTGTTCTTTGCAAATTGAACATGAAGGTTTTTTTGTTTGACTTAAACCGGGGGATGGTCAAGACCCTTGAATGGGTGTCATCTAGCCCCAAGTTTCTCAGGCCTAGCTGTTCATCTCCAGGGTGCTGGCCTCTCATTTCAGGGGAAATGGACCATGCTAAAAATTAATCTGAACAAAGTTTGTGCCCACTCTTCATAGATAAAATGGAGTGGACATTCTAGCTAATTGTTCTCTATGCCCTGAACTTGCTGAGTTTGTGAAAAAGGCCTCTTGAAATAGTTTGTTGGGTGAAAAAAATGGAAAAGGGCTCTGTATTGTATTACATGCACTCATGAAAAAGAAGAGGGAAATTAAAGATTAAAGCAGCTGCTTTCTTTAAAATATGGAAATATATTTTGTTGGTTTATACCAGCTTTTCATTTCATTTTTCTTTCTTTGCATTTAAGTTTTCCTTTTAAGGAAGACTAGTTCATTAGATGTTTAAGAGAGTTTTTCTAGCTCTGAAACATTTTGTGTTTTTTTAAAACTACTTTGAGATATGATTGACATA